GAATTTCCTCAACCGGTTAACCGAAAATTATTCAGTTCGGGTCGATTAACCGATTATAGCCCAACCGATTCAAATCATTAGATACAACCCCAAAAAAGTAAACGTAAAAATAAATAAGTTCGTGACATTAAGAATTTAGAGTTAGGGCGTTATACTACATGTAAAATTCATTCCCGTCATTTTAATTGTTGCCCCAAGACAGTTTAAACACTCGTTTTCTTGTATTTTCGCATTTTTCGCATTTTTCGATTTGTTTTCCTGTTCTTCATTTTCGTTTTCGCATTTTACGTTCTCCGATTTGACAATTTCCTTTTTTTAGATTTGCTCAAATAAGTGCATGCGCTGAGCCTAAAAGATTTTGCCAAAAAAGCGTTGTAGGCTAGGGATATGTTTGCAATTAAGCAAGAGTACGTTTCGTTATTTAAGTAAAATTTCGAAAGTCGTATTAATGTTGTATTTTAAGTTAGGGTGTAAGTTTATATAAAATAAATTCTGTCCTAAAATTATAATTTTATTGATAAATTTCAAATATACTTAAATTCAGTTCCACTTACAACATCCAATACCAAAATTTCGCAAGGAAACCTAAGCAAATTCTTGAGCTATGACCGTTTTTTTTCGTGTTTATTTTCGTGATACACTTGATCCTGAAAATTTAATTGGCTAGCGAAATCTTTTAAGATGGTGTAACACGAGGACACTTCTTGTTAGTGATGTGGTTTTGATCGACCGACTGGCTTAGCCAGCCGATCAAAAATACAGTCGGGGATTTTTCAAATTCGTGTAACGTAGATTATTTCTCTTTTTGGTAAAAATCTTTCAATTGGAAAATTTTTTTTTAATTCTATAGTACGAAATTTGCATCAATTATTGACTGTGTTGTTATTTGGCACACAACCGCATTTTAAAGCCTCAATGATCCCCAGGGGTTCCTGGACTACATATTCATAGAATAACTTTTGCAAGAATATTTTAAAGGTTTTTTTGAAACTGATTGTTATTTTTAGATATATGCAATTCCAATTAGTAAAAATTAAGGAACCGATTGGAGCGGGCTTAAAACTTTGGAAATCTTGGAAATTTTGTAATATGATAATTATTATTACACATCGCGTAAATGATAATCTTGATTTGACGCATCTGCTTTTTAGAATAACCTTTTAGTATATTGCAGATCATTTCTATATCGCATAAAATCCCTGGCTGAAATAATATATATGAGTGACGCCAAGGGGAAATTTAAGTATATTATCGAGTTCAGCAATGATGCAGATCGGGCTTTAAATTATACATTAACGTTAATACCAGTGTTGTCAGCAATAGCAGAGGTCTTTTTCGATTTTTAACAGCTGCCCTACCTTGTTTAGTGCATCGAGTGTAACCCAGGTTCGCATAAGGAGAGCTTCTCCCTGCGTTACGAAGACTAAGTAGAATTTCCAATTATATAATATAATTGGAGCTTTTACTTTGTATTCGTAATGCAGGGAGAAGTTCTCCTTATGCGGACCTGGGTTACACTCGACGCACTTTCGACGCACTAAACAAGGTAGGGCAGCCGTTAAACTTCGAAAAAGACCTCTGCTGTCAGCAATAGATGAATAGAACAATAGAGCAATAGAATAGAGCAATAGAATTTAGAATAGAATAAAATTTTTATCAATAGAACAAAAAATTGACATCTAGATTATAATTAATATTAATATAGCAAAAAACAAATAGAAAATAGAACAATAGAATAGAACAATAGAATTTATAAAATTGACAACACTGAGTTAATACATATAAATTGGCGGTACTCATAATATTTACTATAATTTTGAATAATAATTAACCAGTTTTTAATAATTATCCTACGTAGCTCATTTATATTAATACCAATTAATTAAAAAACAGTTGAAATACTTCTTATACACAATATGTCTTTCACTTAATTGGATCTGTAGTTATTGCATAACACCAATTAAGAATATAACCAATTATTCTAGTCGCATGTTTTAGTCATAAAAGTAAGCTTAAGAAAAAAGATTATTAAAGTAATTAGAACTATATAATCGAGCGAAATAAAATTCTTTTGGGGCCAAACTTGGTCAGGTGAAGGTTGGTGAATTGATTTGCAGATTTTATCTTTTACCACCCGGCTTAAGTCTTCAATACTATGTGCACATTCGATAGTTAATAGAATCAAAAATCGATTGAAAGTTAACCAAATTGGTAAAACTAATCGATTGAATTGAAGTAATTAGTCATTGAGTGATTATCTATTTAACCCATATGATTGGTCTTCCCCAGTATCGCCACCAAAATTCTACGAGCACGTGATCGCGCTAAAAAATCGTTTAGGGTCTATATTAAGGTTATAATTTTACAAAGTGTTCTAATCATAAAATCTTTCCGCAGAATTTTGGTGACGGATTATCTTAACCGCATTAGCCTATTTTATACTGTATCTGCTGGCTTAGCCGTAAACAATAAACTGCGTTAGACCCGAGAAAAATACTCAAATACTGGAATGTCAATATTAAATTATCGTTATGATGTATATACGTATCAATATATATATATATACTATTTTTAACTATATCGACATATATGATAGGATACGTGTTTCAGTATTTCACTATATATTTACAAACTATTTGTGATGGTCCAAACAATATGTTTAATTTTCAACTTAAAATCATTCAATTGATTAACTTTAAATGTAACCAAGCCAAAATAATATATATGTATTCTTTCTATAATATAACAAGAATAGAATTTCATAAATGAGTTAGGAAGCTGATCTCCGATTGAAATGCATCTACAAATATCTATATAGAAAAGGAATTATTTCTTCGTAAATAAATAAATCATTAACTATATAGAGAAGGAATTATTTCTTCGTAAATAAGTCATTTAATAAAAAACAATGCCTCTTCAATTATTAACTATATTTATCTTCATAACTTGGTTTTCATTCTTGTTGCTTCAGTACGTTATTGTAGATGCCCGTTTGATAGATGGTAGTGACAACAATGCTCTATATCCGACCGCTGGAACCCCAAACCAACCTTTCTTAAGAATAATTAGTTCTCTGAATTTCAAGTAATCATTTGATCTATAATTCTCCATTTAATTTTATACATTCAATGCATTCAAATATCAATTGTTAATTTACAATTCAGTCAAAATTCTTCTCCTGTTATATCTCCCACTGATTTCCTTGGTTTAAACCCGAGTGGGCCGACAACTATCAAATGTTCTGATAGAGTACCTTCTGGGCAATATCCTATGCCACGATGTATATCAAATGTGATTTCTAGTTATAATGATCAACTTTATAATGTTGGCGAATTATCAAATCATCGTTCATTCAGAAGGACTAGCCATTTCGTAAGTTATACGTAAATTTTCGTTAATTGCGTTAATTGTATTCATCGTCTTTTTATTTACTTATGATATATTATAGGCTACTTTCTTTGGCCATTATGTTACATTCGATCTTGTTTCTTCAAAAAACACAAATCCAACTTTTCCTATATTCTTACCAGCTGATGATCCTCTCTATAATCCAAATCCAAATACCACTATATCTCCATACCAACTTAGTGTACCTTTTTTACCTGTTAATCGGTCTGATGGTAATAGTGACACTAATCCAAATCGAAATCCTCTTCTTAGTGGAATAAATAATGTCACCCCCTTTTTCGATCTTAATAATATTTATGGTATCAGTGATCAAGACGCGATGAACAGGCTTCGTGATACTTCAACAAATAGAGGAAAATTAAAGACATCTATTGTCAATGGAGAACAATTTCCTCCAAAAAATTCTGCTGGTTCCTATATTTGGGGTTCGACTTCGGAACGTTCATATAGTATATTTACTTTGGCTATTCAAACAATCTGGATACGTGAACATAACCGTTTATGTGATGAATTATATCAATTATATGGTAGTTCCTGGACTGACGAACAATATTTTCAGGAAGCTGTGGGTCTTCGATATTATCTGTTTTATTTAACTCCATTTTTTTGTTTGTTAATTTTATTAAATTAGTTCAATTAATTGTTTTAGAGGCGTTGGACTATTGCTTTCTATCAAAAAGCTGTTGCTGAGGAATATATTGGTGCTATTCTTGGTAGTCCTTTACCTGCTTACCAAAGCTATAATCCTGATCTTAAGCCAGGTTAGAAATTATATGATAAGCCACTCTGTTGTTAACCTTTTATTTCTAACTTTACATTTTTATGAAACAGGTGTTGACACTTTCTTTTCAACTGTTACATTTCGATACGGTCATAGTGAATTAAGGTTGATATTATTCAACTCTATTTTTTTCTCCCTTAAAGTATCTAATAGAATCCTCTTGAATTTATTTAGTGATTTTTACCGAATTCAAGATGAATATGGTGATACTCTTTATAATTTACCTTTAAATAATATTAAAAATCTCACACTCTTGGAGAGCCTTGGTTTAGAAAGAGTACTTTGGTCTATGATTCTTCAACGTCAGGAAGAAGTTGATATCTTTTTTGCAGATTCGACTAAAAATATTAATGCTCCTGATCGCCATACCTACGATTTAATTGCTTTTGACATTATAAGAAGTAGAGATCATGGTAAGACATTTTTCTTTTCATTTTAATTTCGTTTTATATAGTATTTTTTATTTTTATTTTTTTAAAAACCTTGTTATGTTATAATAGGCATTCCTTTATATAATGTGGTTAGACAATATTTTGGTTTGTCTAGGGCTCAGTCGTTTTCTGACATTTCCTCCAATCCTACCATTCAAGCAAACTTGGCTAAAATTTATCCAAATGGTGAATAGAATATAATTATGATTCTTGTGTTTTAAAATTAGTCGCTATATTATTAGTTGATAATTATTATTGATTAGTTGATGACTACGCATAGTTGATGACTATGGCTATAATTGATGACTATGATAATTAGTCGATTGATTAGTCGATTGGTTAATGGCTATTTAGTTGGGTTCTACCACAAAATTTCGACATCCAAAATCTCGACAGGCCATAATATTGACATTACGCGATGTGACAATTAAAAATTTAAAGTCTGATAATGATTGTTAATGTGATTATTAATCTTTAAAAATTATTTGTCACGTTGGGATTATGGTTTCGAAGTTTTTGATGTCGGGATTTTGTGGTAGAACCATTTAGTTGAATATACTATTAGTGGATTAGTTGATATATACATTAGCTGACAAATTATGCATTCACTTTAGGAGTCGATACCGTAGAAGCGTTGGTTGGTGTGATGAGTGAAGATCATTTAGATGGAGCAAACTTTGGAAAAACTATGAATGCGAGTATGGTGATGCAGGTGATCATTGTTATATGTTTCGCTTGTAAATTTTCTCGGATTATTCGGTTGCATTAAAAAAATTTTTTTTTTTAAAGTATATGTATATTAGAGATTCTGATAACTTTTGGTTCGAGAAACCTGATATGTTTACTGCTGAAGAACAAAAAATTATACGAAATACAACACTCCGAAATATCATCATTCGTAACATCAATCAAAATGTAACCTTCCCTCAAAATATTTGGGCCGTCCAACCTCAAATAAAACTTAACAGTAGTGATGATAATAATTATCCAAGCAAGATTGGTGTTTGGACTCAATATATTATTAGTTATAGGGTTGATTTGACCTATATATATTTCAAGGTTCAACTACAAACTTCTGATGGTAATGGTTGGTTTGGAATGGTAAGTTTATTGTATATTTTTATTTTTAGTAAGTTTACCTTTTTTTAAATCAGTTTTATTTTGGTTTGAACATATTACAGGGGTTTGGTCCAGATGATGATGGAATGAAAGGTGCTGAATTTATCATTGGAATTGTAGGTCCTTTAGAATATACCATTTGTATTTTGTGAGGATGGCTTATTATCTAAATACCTTTTATATTTATTCTATAAACAGGTTACTAATGGGAATGTCTCATTAGGAAATTACCATGCTGATATAGGTAGTTACCATCCTCCCCTTCGAGATTCTAATCAAGATCCTACTCTCGAACCAAAATTTTCCATGTCCGATTCAAAAGCTGTGACAGTAGAGTTCAAAAGACTTCTCAATCCACCAGGAAAAAAACCAATTGTTCATAGTGATATGAAATGTGGGATATTAACATTTTTTATTTTTTCGTTACTTTTATAGTATGTTGCCTTGATTTTCAATGTTGAAACTAAATTATCAATTATTATTATTATTATTATTATTATTATTATTATTATTATTATTATTATAGTTATCATGGCATATAATCCAAATAGCAATGCATTCTCTTATCACCAAAATAATCGCATTTTGAATAAAGTGAATTTTTATAATAGTCAAGTTAGTACTGCAACTACTCTTAATCTTCAAAGAGTGGTTAGATTAATTCATGGCGGTGGAATGTTCTTTACATGGTGGTAAATAAAATATCCTTTTCGTTACTACAATATCATATAATGTTTTGTTACTAGATAATTATTTGACAGATATGAACTTTGTTATAATTTTTAGCATCTTATTTCCAATATCAATCTTTATTGTTCGGTACTGTAAGGTATATATTTTATTAACTTTAAATTTTTTTCATATAAAACCGATTTAAACCTGTAAATGATTTTTACGTAAAAAATCTATTATTTATAGCATCATAATCAACACCTTAAAACTCATCGGTTTATACAGTTGTTGGGTGGTATTTCAGTTTCAACATTTGGTGCTGCAGCTATTTCTACTATGGTTACGACACAAACGCCACATGCTTGGTATTATATTTATTTTTGTTTGTACAGTACTTTATCATTATGCGTTTTTATATTAACTATTGGAAAATTTTAGGCTGGGTTTGATCATATATGCTTTGGCATTCGTTGAATTAGGTACTTATTCGTTGAACACAACTTGACAGTTGAATTTAATTACAGGATTTTGATTAATTTACTTGATGAATATTTTCATAGGCCTTGGTATAATTGCTATATGGGGACAATCGTCTGTAGTATCAGTTAATAAGGTTTGTTTTAACATTTTTTGACATCGTATATTTGTTTAATAATTTGACTAACCGTGTTGAATCATTTTGTCAGGGATATCCAAGGCTTACAAAGCGCATTCATAAATGTTTTGGTATAGCGTTATTATTGTCTGCATGGTAAAATATTAAATATTGTTGTAATCACTTGTATTTGATTTTTTTATTAGTTTTCAGATACATTAATATTTATATCTATTATATCTATATTATATATATATATCAATATAAAATTGTAGGATTAATATATATCTTGGTAATTAAAATAATATTAATAAAATTATAATTTATAAAGTTAATATTATACTAATCGTTATACGTTCGATTTTTAGGAATTGACACTTTTTGCCTCTCTTATGGCTAGTAAGTATAATACTTTCAATATAATTTTCTACATATTATCTTTGTTGACTTTGAAATTTTATTGCAATTAGTGATTCGCTTGGATGGAAAATTGCTTACTGTTGTTGGATATTAATAATATTATGTGCTTTCCTAATGGGAGAACTTTGGTGGCATTTTGAAGAACTTCGTCATAAATTCCTTTGTATTAAAGATGAGACCATGACCGAGAAAAAAACGATGATGCATGCTCATATTAATCATCAAGATTATGTTAAATTACCCGAGTTTACTTGGGAAGAAATTAATGAACGAGTTCAACGTGGGGTAGGTGCATTGTAAATATGAATTAATACAATATAAGAATTAAAACAATATAATTACAACAATATTATCGTGTGGTGGATTCAAAAGTTCTTTATTAGTCGAATTGAAATGGACTAGTTAGCTACCTTCAGAATTATTATGATTTATTTTCTTGCTTTAAATAACTAACCTATAAATCGTTCATTGTTTAGGCTCAATTGGTCGTTTGTGATGGACTTGTGATAGATATCCACAGTTGGTGTGGTTCTCATCCAGGTCAGTTTTTTTCAGCTACTATCCATTTTCCGCATAAATTTTTATAACTAACACTAATGTATAATAATAGGAGGGAGTCAAATATTATTACATGTAAATATTATATAATGGTCCGTTTATATAAGTTAATGCTTAAATTACAGTACTTATAATTTTACGATTTATGATTATAGGTTATTGGAACAGATATTACGAATGGTAAGAATTACTACAGAAATTTGTTTAAATATACCAAAGCATGTTTAAGGAAATGAATGTGTATATTTTTTTCATTATAGACTTTTACAATACGCACAAGGACGAAGAAATTGTTGAAGATATAGACTGTCCAAAGGCTTTATTGATTCCAAAGGATACACCTTCTGAAAACCAATCATCTGTGCTTGCAAAATATGTAACACACCTTCAAGGAAAGTCAGCACCTCAAAAGAGACTCTCAGCTGCCCAATTTATTGACAACATTAATACAAAATTCTATTTAAGGAAACCGTTGGCAGAACATAATCATAGTAGATTTGCCACACAGAAAATGGCAACATTGGTTATAGGGAAAATGAGTGAAAAAATAAGCGAAAAAGGACTTCTGGCTCCGAGTAATGAATCTATTTATCAAAATCCAGTAAATGATTCTGTAGAAATTGATAAAGCTAGTACCCCAAAATTTATCAAATTCCATCGTTATAAGCTTACAAGCAAAAAAATGGTTAATGCAAATGTGAAATATCCTGTGATAAGATTTACATTTTCCATAGTACATCAAGGCGAGAAAGATGTTAGCACAGAAAAGTTTTTACCTGGACATTACATTGAAGTGCAATCTAGAGTAAATAGTCAAATTTTGATTAGAAGTTACACTCCTCTGGAAGGTAGTTTATCCAAGTCATTTTCCATTTATGTAAAAATTTATCCAAAGGGGCTCTTTTCACAACATTTGGTATGTGCATCTTAGCATTCTCGTTTTTTTTCCTTTAAATAATATTTCTTTAAATTCTTAATAATAATAATAGTAATAATAATAATAATGGACATCATCTTTAGAATCAACAGTTGATTGGATACGAAATTCAAGCACGTGGACCATTCGATGTTAGTGATAAACAAAGGTCATATGTTGCACCTACATTAACAAGTCAATTAAATCAGGGAACGAATATTCTTTCACCCAAAAGACCCTATACCCCTTTTGCTCCTTACACCAAATTTACTGAAACAAAGACTTCTTTATTAAATCCGGATAGTCCGGATGGTTGCTGGGACGAGTTATATATGATTGCTGGTACTGATTTTATTCCTTTGAATTATGATTAACGAATATCGCCGGTTTTCTTAATGACCTTTTTCATGTTTTTAGGTGGTACGGGGATAACACCAATGTTACAGGTAATTTAACATTAGTATTAAATATTTTCTCAACCATTCGCTTAAGTATTCTCTCAAGTGTTCTTTTAAGTATTCAACCAATCATTTTTTAACACCGATTATAATAGTTAATCAAGTATTATTTGGAACGGTCAATTAAACAAAAAGATCGATATGTTAGTTATAAACGAATGCATTTATTATTTGGAAACCGTAAAATTGAAGATGTTATCGATGGTGTATTGCTTGAAGATCTTTCACTTTCAAGTAGAGGACAACTTACTGTAACGTACTGTCTCTCAGAACCACCTTCAGATTGGGATGGTTTGCGAGGAAGAATTCATAAAAAAATCATACAAGATTGGATCAACATAATGAAAGGTGTACTCCTCGAATCACCAAACAACTCTCAGTTGATTGCAGAAAATAATAACTATATGAGTATTCTTCAGAGTCATTCTGTACGTCATGACGCAAATGAGCAGAGCCCTTTGCCAATTATAATAAGCCCTCAATCACCACCATCTATGCAACCACAATCTCATGATGATTATCAGAGATATGGTGACGACAATATAATTTATACGGGACCTAGACCAGCATCAACAGGATCATTTAGAACATCTAAAAACATTGATGTAGATTTAGCCAATTCTGGAAGAGGTGATGATCTGATACAAGGAAAGATTGTTGTTTGTGGTCCACCTGATATGTTATTTACCGTCGAACAAGCTTTGCTTGAAATGGGATTTACTGAAAAAAAAAAGATTATACTACGTTAGATTAAATTAGATTATTTACTGAGTATATGTCTGTACTTTGACATTATGTTTATGTATATTAAAGTTTATTATTATATGTATATGATGTAAATATCTAATCAAATTTATTTTATTTACAACAAATTATCAATTTCTATATTTTTAATTTTATTATCGAATCTCGCTTAATAAAAGTTTTTAATATATTATTCTGTTATTATTATTGCCGTTTTGTTTATCAAATTGTTCGGTGTATTATTAATAAATCTATTATTATAATTATACTATATATTTAATGAATGTCTTAGAATCCCAGAATCTCATTGTTTCTTTGTTCCAGAAATCTAAATAAGCTTCCCTTTTTCTTATCCCACTGATTGTGCCAGTGAAAAGCAAATACTTGTAATAATCTTTCCTCGTCAAATTTCGTTTCATCAAATGCACTAGGCATTGAGTTTGACGGATTACATAGGTGAGGATCAGTAAAGCACCAAGGAATTATTTCAAATGGTTTTTTTCCATTTTGAATTAAACGCCTAAAAATTTTATAATAAAGTTTCCCACCCCAATCAATTGAAGATTTGCTAGGAACTGGTCCATTAGCCATTTCGGAAAGGAGTTCACATACATAAGGAGAATTCTTTCGAAATCTCATAAAAGCACCGTTAAAAGGATAGCCTTTCGGCATAAAACAATCCCATTGGCCAAGCCATTCGTGCTCCATGAGTGGTGCAAAATCACGTATAAAAAGAGAATCCATGTCAAACCATACTCCACCATATTTGTATAAAACAAGGAGTCTAATCAAGTCACCATCAATGTAAGCTTGCTTATCATTAAGTTGAAGGTTGGGAGAACCTTCCATAGGAGTTCCTTGGCTTTCTATCACGGAATTATAATGCTTTATTGTGAATCGATCGGAATAACGCTCAAGCAACGGTTTAAGAGAGGGAACAGTCGAAATATTTCCATTAGTCCAGAGAATGAGAGAAGAATATTTTGCATCTTGAGTAGCAAAGAAAGATTTTAACGTAGCGATCTGTTTGTCACAAAAAGGTCGTAGATCAGCACGCCAGTAAGCATGGTAGATTATATATTCTCGAGGTTGGCCAGACTTCAACTTTATACTTTTGGCGAAATCGTAACAATCCCAGCCGTAAGTGAGAGGTAAGGTGGTTAGAATGTTATTGTAAATGATTGATGGTTCAGAATTATTAGAAAGGCTATCAAAACATTTGCTTAAATTTTCACGTTTAAATTCTTCATGTGAAATCCAATCTCTCCAATAAACTCTAATACCAAGTTCGAGATCACAGGTCATAAAGAAAATTATACCAAATAAAACAGCAAGAGTAAATAACGTTCTGAATAAATAATAGCATTTTAAACGTCTTGCGCGATTTGATCGTTTTGTCCATTTGGTATTTAACCGCATATAGGTTGTAGAAACTGACATTAGAAAAGTTAACAAATTTGAGTATTTAAATATATAATATAAAATCGCATAGACCTGAAAAAGAAATGTAAAGTATGTTAAACAAATGTATATATTTATATAAATTTTATTTTTGATACATATAAATAAATCAAATAATAATATGCATAATGACAAATACAGTAAAAATTTTATTATGCATTACCAACTTTGGAATAAATCTGGCATATCGATACGTATGTATTACATATTGTCATACGTCAATATGATATAGTAGTGTTTGTCCTAGTTTGCAGCTTGCCGATTTAACATTTGGCAGCCGGATTTTTCATTGGTTAGTATATATAGTTTCTTATACATAATTGAATTAACTTCAGGGTTAGGGTTATCTTATATTAGAGCTAGGTTAGGTTTTATGTGGTTATATATAATCAAAATTCCTTCCCCGACATTTTTAATTAACCCACCTTTTTCTGTATTTTCAGGTTTTTCTTTTTATTTCTTGCTTTACTTCGCCGGCGATCATCAAAATTCTATAATTTGATTGGTAGTATATCACGTGATTCTTCTCCGCTTTAGACGACTCCCTTTTTAGAAAATAGATCTTAATGATCATCATGATGTCCTGATTTTCGATCTGAGGAAACCAGGGTTTCAAGTTTATTGCTTACCGAATCCTGTTTGATTCTTTTAAGGCTATAAATTTAAAAGTCAAATGACAGGTTTTTTCCCTGGCGGCTGTAGAAACTATTACGCTTATGCTGTAACTATTTAAAGCCTATGTCGTAACTAGTTACGGCATAAGCCGTAACAGTTTTTACTGCACCCCTAACGCTAAGCGGTACCTATTTGGGTAATTAATTTTGAACCTGGGACCAATTTTTATATTTATGACGTAATATCATTTCGGTTTTGTAGCTGGTTTGTATACCAATTTCGGACATCTGACCTAACAGGGACAGCGTTCAGTACAAAATTTCCGAATCCGGACTACAGATCATTTCCGATCTGGCTTCGAAACCTAATAAAATTTAAACATTGAGCAAAGATATCTCGATGACCACCTAACCAAATTTGATGAAATTAATTTTATTTGAATCCTACAGATTCGTAGAATTCAAATAAAAAAAATTTCATCAAATTTAGTCAGGTAGTCGTCGAGATATCTTCGCTCAAATTTTAAAAATAATTTGGTGCAACTTGTATTTTGATAGATGTTTCGAATTTTCTTCAACTTTGAACAAAGATATCTAGGTGACCAACTGACCAAATTTGTTAATTTTTTTATTTTAATTTTACAGATTCATAAAATTTGAACAAAAATATTTCATTGAATTTAATCAGGTAATTGCTAAGATATCATCATTCAAAGTTTTAAAAATAATTTAGCACAGCTTCTATTTTGATAGACATTTTGAAATGTTTTTATCTTTGAACTAAGATATTTTAGTGACCAACTAACTAAATTCAATTAAAATTTTTTATTTGAATTCTATAGACATGTAAGTCAAATAAAAAAATTTATCAAATTGATTAGATAGTTGTTAAAATATTTTTGCTTAAATTTTAAAAATAATTTGGTATAACTTCTATTTAAATAAACATTTTGAATTTTCTTCGATTTTAAGTGAAGTTATTTTGGTAATCACCTGACAAAATTTAATGAAATATTTTTTATTTGAATTTTATAAATTTGTCAAATTCAAATAAAAAAAATAACAAATTTGATTAGGTAGTTGTTGAAATATTTTTGTTTAAAGTTAGAAAAAAATTTTTTTTTTTTTTTTTTTTTAATCTTCAAAGGTGAGGCCATGCCTCTATCTTTATTAAAATTCAATTAAACTTCTTTACAAAAAAGAAATTACATTATTTGAACTCTATATCCAAAGGATATTAAGACTAGAGACTCAGACAGAGCTTACATTAGAGTTATTTGCAACCTAAACTTAGTTAGAAAAAATTTAAAATATCTATCAAAATATAAGTAGTATTAAATTATTTTTAAAATTTAAGCAAAGATATTTCAATATTCATCTGACCAAATTTAATGAAAATTTTTTTATTTCAATTTTACAAATCTGTTAAATTCAAATAAACTTATTTTATTAAATTTAGTTAAATAGTTATCAAGATATTTCACTTAAAATTTAAAAATAATTTAGTACAACTTATATTTTGACAGATATTTTAAAATATTTTTAACTTTGAATAGTTATTTTAATATCAACCTAACTAAATTTAATAAAATTTTTTGAGAAAATCTATTTGATGCCTAGGGCAAATTTGCCTAGATTTATTAATTTGTGAAATTTTACCAGCATTGGGTTAGAGTTAGGGTTAGGGTTGAGATAAAGAAGGACATATAGTAAAATTTGGCCAAAAATTTTTTTCATTAAAATATAAAAAGTTTAAGTTATTGATAATGTTTTGAAAAGGTTTTCATTTTATATTATATAAAGATTGTCTCTGATCTTGCGATCTATATAGAAAATTTTTCTTTTTTAGGTTTTAGACAAATTTGCCCAGGTGTCAAATAGCAATTCTCAAATTTTTTTATTTAAATTTTACAAATTCAAAAAAAATTATATAAATTTGGTTAGTTGATTATTATAATATTTTTTTTAAAGTTAAAAATTAATTTGATATACTTTATAGAAATTTATAATTTTTTAATAATATTGTAATTAAGTACTTTACAGAAATAGCCAATTTAGCAGTTTTAAAACTACTTTAAAGTAGTGATACAATTTAATAAAAAATTTTTAATCAATTAGTTAATAGATTATTTTATTTAACTAATCAATTAATCAATTTTTATTCAACTAATTGATTAGTTATCCAAGTGTTAATCAATTAATTTAGATCATTCTCAAGTATCTATCTCAATAAGTTAACTAAACGATTTGATTAGCTAAAAAATTGATAGTGGTTATCATTTTGGGCAAAAAAATCTAAAGCTGTGATTGCCAATTTTTTTCATAAAGCTACGCCGATTGGTTAAAATTTATTATTAACAGAGTAATCAAAGAGATTGCTCAAGCTCAAATACATTATTATTTTATTATTTCTTTTTTTTTGTAATATAGATCTTATTCTACTCTTATAACAAATAAAAGATATTTAATATTCAAAGAATACAAAAATACAACTCTCTCTGACAATCACTCGTACCAAACTTACAGCTAACGAAAACAGAAATTTGTTAGAGAAAAGTAAAAGAGACAACTACAAATAATGATATTTATAGAGGTCAAGGATTTTTATGTTTCTTCTGGACTCCTCTGTATATTTAGTATGCAAGTTAAAAATGTTTCTGTACAAAATAACTGGCCAGAAGGTGGCACCTTTGTACAAAAAATTTTAATAGAAGCTTTGCTTCTGTTAACGAAGTTAATGATAGTTGGTCTAAGGAGAACAACAAGCGAGTTTTTAACATGTTCTTTACCAAAATTTAAGGCTACCCATATACTAAAACTCTATACCAAATTCCACTTTTTGCACTTTTCGAAATTTTCACCAAAAAGTAAGAAAAATGGCGTATCCTCAACAAAAGATCAACACAGTACCAGCTGCTGAAAAAGAAAAGCACATACACGTATATGTGTCTACTTTGGGATGAATAGTGGTAGATAATGTGATAACATTTGAAGCACTGCAGAAGACTCACTGACCTAGTTGGGATAGCACCGAAAGTTTCAACCTTGGAGCTCTACTTCAAGACAGGATGGTTTTTAACATTTTTACATCCTAGATATAGACATAAATAACTAGTGTAGAGTTTAGTCTAGTTTATTTGTAGTACTATATAATTTTTA